ATTATATTTAAAATGTATGTATTATATTATAAATATATTTGTACATTATATTTGTAATTATAAATATATTTATATTATATTAATATTATGTTTATAATTTATTACTTTATATTACTATATTATATTAAAGAAAACTATTCTAACTATACTAAAGAATACAGAAAGGATACTCACTAAATGTTAAAAAGGTAATAATGAAAACTCCTGACTCTCTCCAGAGTCCTGACACAGCTTGGCCCTGATTGGCCCAAGAGTGAAAACAACTCCCAGCAGAATGCAATGGAACAATCACCTGTGGGTGAACAATCTCCAAACACATTCCACATGAGCACAGCACAGGAGAAGCAAATGAGATGAGAATTGTTTTCCTTTTCTCTGAGGCTTCTCAGCTTCCCAGGAGAATCCTGGGTGAAGAGATATTTTCAGAGACTGTGAATGCCACAACATTGTGCCCTCCCTGTCCCTACCAGTCCCTTCCCCTGGGACACGTTCCCAGGACCAGGACCAGGCATTGAAGAGCCAGCATTGCCTCTGCCTGCACTCAGGGGGTGGAAGTGACTCCCCATCCCAGATCTCAGACCGTGAATGCACTCCCCAGTGGATGCTGGATACTCTCACACCCTCCCAGAGTGTCCTAAAATCCCAAATATTCTGGGGGAGCCCCTAGGGAGGATGGTCAGCACACCAGCAGGAGCTGCCAGTGTCTCTCCCTTCAGCCCCAGGACTCAGAAGATTGTGGGGCACCCCCATTTCTGCCAGTTAAACACATGTCCAGCGTCTTAACAGCTTCTAACTGAATTTTTGGGGGTGAAAAAGCCCAGAGCGAGGCCTCCTGGCCTAGACTCCTAAGGAGAGAACCAGGAAGGAGGGATCAGGATGTGGCCCCAAGGCTGCTGGGGGGGCATCTCTGACATCAACTTCCCCTTGGTACCACAGACATCCTTGCACTTGTCTGTCAGGAAAACCACGCTGAGCCAGCTCTGGCCCCAAGGCCAGTCCCCTCTCTGGCCTCCCAGATCCCTGCTACTTCCCTGAGCTCCATCCCACACCAACAGCCACTGGTGCAGGGCCCAGTTGCCAGACCTGGCCATCCCAATTTCCATGATTTGGACCAAAACAGCACAGGATGGAGTGAGGGGAGCAGCCACCACTTCTCCCCATCCACTCTGATGCTCCTTCCCAGCTCTGTGTGGAAAGGGGGCTGAGGAAAAGCCCTTGCCCTTTCCCTTTCCCTTCCCAGCTGTTGTGGGGCTGTCCAGCCCCAGCTCCTCACCTGCATTCCCCAAGCAGGGAAAGGCTTCTGGGGGTCCCAGAGCAGCCCACAGTCCCTGCTTGGAGGGAGTTCTGGGGCATTTTGCACTCCAGCAGGTCCTGGGTGCCAGGATGGGGCCTGCCCATGCTGGAGCTGTGCTGGCAGGAAGGGTCTCCAAACCCCTCCATGTTCCCATCCCTGCTGTGCCCCCCAAAGCCTCCATGCCCACGCTGACACCTTCCCCAGGCAGCTGTGGAGTGGGTAGCTTGGTTCCCAGCTTGGTTCCCAGTTTTTCCAGTGAGACAAATGCCACTCTTGTAGCAATGTACCTGAACAACTCACCAGCCACACTGCTTGTAACTGTTCTTATCAGAATTTTATCAAAATACTGTACAAAGTTACTAAAACATCGACTGTACTAAAATAAGAATGAAGAGGCTGAGAAACTGAATACCAAGATCACAAGAACTAAATAACAGAAGACCATGAAACACCTAAACTGTAACCAATCACAGACACTAAGAAATTGAAACAGAAAATGAGAGAGCAAGACAAAAAAACCAATCAAGAAGTGTATAATTAGTAGTTTGTAAAATCTATAGAAGTGTGTGTAATATAAACAACAAACAGCTTCTGCTTAGTCAGTTATTCAAAAGTCCCAGACTCCCCACACACTCTTTCCTTATTTATATTTTCTACCAGGTGTGATGGATGCAAGAGAGCTGCCAGGGAGCTGACTGTCCCCAGGTGTCACCATGATATTTTCTGAAAAATCCCTTTGCTAGGATTTTTCTCCTGAGAAGCTGAGAAGCCTCAGAAAAGAAATGTAAACAATAATTATCTGATTGCTTGGAATGTGGTCTGGAGGTTGCTTACCAAGAGGTGAATCTTTGATTGTTCCATGTGAATTGTTTTTAATTAATGACCAATCCCAGTCCAGCTGTGTCAGGACTCTGGTCAGTCACAGGTTTTTATTATTCATTCTTTTCCAGCCTTCTGCCTGTATCATTTCTCTATATAAACTATATATATATATATATATAGTTTATATACTATATATAGTCTATATACTAAAGTATATAAACTATAGTATAGTTTTAGTATATAATATAATAGTATATAATAGATATAGTATATTTTTAGAATAATATAATATAATATAATAATATTATTTATTATATTTATATAATATATTTATATTTTATAATATAGCATTTTACTATTATTATTATATTGTACTATAATTATAGTAATGTAATAAACCAGCCTTCTGGGAACTTGGAGTCAGATTCTCATCTCTCACCGTGTCCTGAGGACCCTCACAACACCACAACACCCAAGGGCAAGGGGACACATCCTGGGGACGTTGGGGACCCCCTCTGGCAGGGTCCAGCTCTCCTGCAGCTCCCTGGGGCTTTTCCTGCAGCCCAGCACTGCTCAGCCTCCGTGGGCAGCCTGGCAGGGAGATGGAGCAGCAGTATAAATACCTCACTCCTAAATAGCCTCTGGTATTTATAGCCTGCCTTGGCACCAAGTGCAGGCTCTGACAGACTCATCTTGGGATTATTTTTAAGGAAGTGTGGAGGAGAGCAGGTTTTGGAGTGAAGGATTGGGGCTGGGGGCTGCCTGACCTGGGGCTGCTGGGGCTGGATGCAGCCAGGCCGTTGCCACTCTGTGCAGGGCTGTCAGGGGTAGGATGCTGGGGATGGATGGAGATGAGAGATCTCTGGAGCCAGGGCTGGAACTTGGGGTTCATTGCAAAGGGCCTGGGGGCAGGGCCCTGCTGGGAGCTGCCAGCCACAGCTCAGAGCAGGACTGAGAGAAGAGAGGGGCAGAGAGGATGAGAGGGTGAGAGAGTAAAAGGGTAAGAGAGCGAGGTTCCCGTTACAATACCATAAATCTTCTTCTGTGTTGAATATTCTAATTCTCACTAACCAATCTAGTATAAGATACAAATCCTATAGCATTTCCATACAGCCTATAAGAATCATTCCATTACCATCCTGTGTTACATTTTAAACCCTACAAACTCCTCTTTGGGCCCCTTCTGCCAAGCTGGCAGGGTCTGCTCTGCCCCTTGGGCCTGTCTGCAAGCAGAGGGTGTTGTTCCATCAAAAGGGGATCACCTTCAGCTGGCCACACCATTGTTTTCCAGTTGTTCAGTAACTGAGAGATCTCAAAGCTTGCTTTCATTTCAATCTCACTTATAGTTTCTATATTCTCAAAATCCTTTGCCAGACAATCACATTTATAAAGCATTCCTGTTTCATCTTCCCCAACAACTCTGCTGTCCCTCTGGGTGCTCCTTTGCTGTCCCATGTCCCCAGGCAGTGGGTGACGGGGTGAACCTCTCTGTGGCCACCCTCAGACATGTAAATGTGTGCACACATCCGTGGCCACAGCCTGCTCTGCATGGCTGCCATTGCTCCAGCTCTGTGCCAGCACCGAGCCATTCCCCTCCTCCTCTCCCATTTCCCCCTTCACACTCAGAAGGAGAAGCGCAGAAGCGCCCAAATCCCCTGGGCACAGCCTGGGAGTGAGACCCAGAGCCTGGCAGCCAGCCCAGGGGAAAGCTCATCCTGCAGTGCTGGGTGCAGGGTGAACACACAGCCTTTGCCCCCAGATTTACAGCCCTGCCGTGCCCAGCCTGGAGGAGTGACTGATCCCCTGGGTGTGATGAGATTTCACTGGGAAATAAAACGGATTTGATTTCACTGGAAATAAACCTGACTGACCCCAAGGACCCACCCCTCCCCAGTGCAGCCCCAGGGGTGTGACGGGCACGTTCCCTCCAGGGTCACCGTGGGCAGGGGGCAATGCTTGGCCTTGGCAGAGCTTTGGTGGCACCGCTGAGCCCTGGGGTGCAGAAGGGTGGGGTGCAGGGGGTGCTGGGGGCGGGGGGACACGGGGTGCATGTCTGGGGGGGATGCTGGGGGTGCGTGGGGGATGCTGGGGGTGTGTCTGTGTTAATTCTGGTTATGGGGGGGTCTGTCTGTGTGTCCGTGGGTGACTCTGGTTGTGGAGGGTCTGTTCATGTCCCCCTGTCCATTCGTGTCCCCGTATCCGTTCGTGTCCCTGTGTCCGTGTGTGTCCCTGTGTCCATTCGTGTCCCCCTGTCCGTGTGTGTGTCCCCCTGTCTGTGTCTGTCCCTCTGTCCGTGTGTGTCCCCGTGTCCGTTCGTGTCCCCCTGTCCGTTCGTGTCCCCCTGTCCGTTCATGTGTCCTCCTGTCCATGTGTGTCCCCGTGTCCATTCGTGTCCCCCTGTCCGTCCGTGTACCCCTGTTCGTTCATGCCCCGTGTCCGTGTATGTCTCCCTGTCTGTTTGTGTCCCCCTGTCCGTCTGTGTACCCCTGTTCGTTCATGCGCCGTGTCCGTGTATGTCCCCCTGTCCGTTCGTGTCCTCCTGTCCGTGCGTGTCCCCCTGTCCGTCCGTGTCCCCCTGTCCGTGTGTGTCCCCCTGTCCGTCCGTGTCCCCCTGTCCGTTCGTGTCCCCCTGTCCGCGCACAGCGGCCACTTCTGCAGTACCAGCTCCCGCCTGCCAGGGGGCGCTGCCGGCGGGCGCTGCGCTGCGGCGCGGGGCGTGGCCCGGACAGGGCGTGGCCGGGGCGTGGCCGATGACGCAGCTCCCAAGCCCCGCCCCGGTCAGCTGAGCGCGCCGCACCGCCCCCCCCGCGCCCCCCCGACCCCCCCACCACCATCCTCCTCCTCCTCCTCCTCCTCCTCCTCCTCCTCCCTCCGCCCTCCGCATCCCCGCGCCGCCACCCGCAGCCTCGCCCGGCCGTGCGCGCCCCTGGGTGCCCCCCGAACCCCCCCGGCACCGAGACATGGCCCCCATCGGACTCAAGGCTGTGGTGGGAGAGAGTAAGATCCGCGCCCCCCGCGGGGTTCGGGGCTGGGGGGCAGCGCGGGGAAGCGGCGGGGGCGGGGGGGCTGCCCCGGCCGGGGTGGGGTGGGGGGGATGCTGCGGATGCGCAATACGGACCCTCGGGGATGGGGGGGGACACACGGGACACCCCCGTGGGGACACGCGGGCGTCGTGGGCTGGGGGGGCCGGGGGTGCTGTCACCTTCCGGGCTGTGTTTGTTGAATTTTTGCGGGTGTTTGGGGTTTTTCTGCAGTGCTGGGGGAGGGGGGGGATTGGTGACGGGGCGGCGGTGGAGAAGCGGGGGGGGGGGGACAAGGAAGCCGGAGACGTTCGAACCCCCCTCGGTTTTATTCCCCCCTCGGTTTTATCCCCCCCTCGCCCCCCGTGGCCCCCAATCCCCCGAAGGGCCTGGAGGCTGAGCCCCGAGCGGGGACACAGAGGGGTGCAGACCCCCCCAAACCCTCCCCCAGCGCAGTGCCAGGCCGGGCCCTCCCGCTTTGTCTGCAGCAAATCCCGCTCAAACGCTGGCCTTTATTGCATTATTATTATTTTTATTCCTCTTATTATTATCATTATTATTTTCGCGGGTGTGCCTTTGCTCTCGCAGCCCGGGGGTGCCCCTGTGTGTGTCCCCCCTCCCCGGGCATCCCTTGCCGGGGGGGTCCCGCTCCCTTCCCGGCCGGAATCTCGCCGGGAGCCGCGGGGGGGGCACGGCCCCATCGTCCCCGGCTCCGCTTCCTCCTTCCCGGCTGTGCAAGGCGATATTTTCCCGGGGGGAAACGAAGCGGGGGGGAGGTTGTTCTCCAAAAACACCCGAGGCTGGACCAGGAAGGAGGGGCGCTCCTTTCCCCGGGGCGAAATTAAGGCGAAAAAACTCCGCATTATAGAGAAAAAAAAAAAAAAAAAAAGAAGAAAATGAAAGGGCAGGAACCGGTGGGAACTTCCCCCCGCAGCCATGAGCCTTCCTCCTCCTCCTCCTCCTCCTCCCCGCCTCTCGCAGGGTTTATTTCCGTGGCACCGTGGCCGGCCGCGGCCGGATCTGGGTGTTTTTTGGGGTTTTTCGCTGGTTTTGGGGCTGTTTCTGGCGTGCCAGCCGTGCCCGTGGCCGTCCCCCCGCCCTCCCGCGGGCGCTGCAGATGGCGCGGCCGGGCCGGTGGTGTGATCGGGTGGGTGGCGATGGCCAGGGGGGGACACGGGGGGGATCCCCGTGGCTGCGTGGCCCTGCCACCCTGCCAGTGTCGCCTGCCGGTGTCACCGGCCGCGGGGACGGGGCTGCGAGCCCAAAATGGACGGGAGAGGCAGGGCAGTGTCCCGGTGTGGCTGTGCTGCAGGAGCAGCGATGGGGACGGGGGCTTTGCTGGGCTCTATCAAGAGGGGACAGGGCTGTCCCCAGCCCGGGGGGATGCGGGAAGAGGGGGTCAGACCCCTGGCAGGGCCCGAGAGGGGACAGACACCAGCGGCACTGCGTGTCCCCTATCCCCATTCATTGTCTCTGCGCTGGGAGACGGCACAGACACACACAGAGACACAGAGAGAGGTTCCAGGCAGCATCAGGGAAATCTGACTTAATCCTCCCCTTCAGGGTTTAGTGACAAACCGCTCCGTTCTGTCCCTGCAAAACATCATTCCCGGCTGGCGATGAGAATGTGGAGCCGGGCAGCAGCGCCGGAGCCGGGCTGGCGGGGACGCGTGGGTGGCTGCGAGGGGGGAGCCGCCGTTGTGCATCAGAATGCTGCAGAGCAGCGAGGGTGGCACCGGGGGGGCACCCTGGGGTCCCCACAGGGGTCTGGGTGCTCCTCAGCCCCCCATGGGGAGCTCCTGGGCTCGGTGCATCAGGCTGCCTTTGGGGCTGGATGCTGGAGATGCTCCCCAGAGTTGGAGCAGGGTCCTCGGAGCTCTGTCCCTGGGCACTGGCACGAGATTTCCTGGGCTGCGCCAGCCTGGCACTCCCTGGAGGTTTTCCTGCAGGAGGTGTTTGCTCCCGAGGAGCAGGAGAGCCAAGCCTGGGGCTGACCCCGAGGCAGGACATCTCCTGTGGGCTGCTTTTCCTGCAGGAAAAGGGAGGGATGGATGGGGAGGATGGAGGGAGGGATGGATGGAGGGGTGGATGGGGAGGATGGAGGGGAGGATGGAGGGGTGGATGGGGAGGATGGAGGGGTGGATGGGGAGGATGGAGGGATGCATGGAGGGGTGATGAGGAGGATGGAGGGGTGGATGGGGAGGATGGAGGGATGCATGGGGAGGATGCTGCCGCGTTGCCATGGCTCGCTCCGCCAGCCCCCCCTCCCGAGCTGCATTCTGCCCTGGCTTCCCTCCAGACCCGGATTATTCCTCTGACCAGCTGGTGCCATAACAGGACGGGGTTTGGAGGCCTCTGATGAGGTTGGAGGCGGCAGGCAGGGGGAGAGGTGGGCCAGGGCTGCAGGAGGAGAAGGGCAGAAGCAGATTGTCACCCCCAGAGGTGTGGGCTGTGTGCTGGGGGTGTCCCTGCACCTTCCCGAGGTGTCCGGCCGCGGTGACTGCGTCCTCCTGCACTGGCTGTTGTCTGCACAGGCTGGGAGCTGAGTGTGCTTGTCCCCAGAGGTGGTGCCTGAGCACCAGGTCCTCCTGCTGTGTTGCTGTCCCCTCCCAGGGAGAGCTGACCCCTCTGCCCTGGTGCTGGTTGGGAAAAATCTCACCTGAGAGTGGCAGCTCTGAGGACACCCATCCCCAAATCTGCATCTGACCCCCAGCTGTAGGGACATCATCCCCAAATGTTCACTGACCCCCAACTGCATAAAGATCATCCCCAAATCTGCATCTGACCCCCAACTGCAGGGACATCATCCCCAAATTTTCACCTGACCCCCAACTGCAGGCACATCATCCCCAAATGTTCACCTCTCTCACTGATGCACATCTCTCCAAACCTCTCGTGCCCCCTTGGATCTTCTCAGGGCCACCTTGTCCTGCAGCAGCCTGCAGTGAGGAGGAGGAGGAGGAGGAGGCTGGTTTTACTTCACTGAAGTGTCAGCAGCCAGGAGAGAAGGGCCCTGCTGCAGGGGTGACACTTGTGCAGCACCTGCCACTGCTCTGGGCTGGCACAGGACACCAGGACACACAGCTGGATGTGATTCCATGGTGGATCCAAACCCCTGCAGCCCTTCAGCCTCCCCAGAGGCTCCTTTGGCTGCTGGTGCTGTCCAGGGCAGGAGGAGCCCTGGGATAAGGAAGCACTTTGCAGAGGCAGCAAGAAAACACCTTTCCCCCAGGGCACCAGGTGATCCTCCCACGGGGCAGCCTCACCTGCCCAGCCTCCCCCAGAGCTGCCCTGTGCCTCCTGCCAGGGCCATGGCCACGGGCAGATCCAGCCTGGACACTGCCCAGTGTCACTGCATGTCCCCAGCTGGGCCTCTCCAGGGTCCAGCCCTGCCTGGGGATGACTCAGGGACTCAGGCTTGGGTTGTGCTGCACCTGCATGGGCAGGGCTGGGGCTGCTGCCAGCCTGGGTGCCTGCTGGTACCTGAGCCAGCCTGGCTGTTTGGGGCACCTTAGGGCTGCCACCAGCCCCTGCTGGGCACAGGGAGCCAGGAAGGTCAGGTGCTGCTTGTGGAGGATCTGAGCCTGTCTCAGTGCCCAGGGGATCCAGGAGGGTCAGATGCTGCTCATGGAGGATGTTCTGAGCCTGTCTCAGTGCCCAGGGGATCCAGGAGGGTCAGATGCTGCTCATGGAGGATGTTCTGAGCCTGTCTCAGTGCCCAGGACACGTGGCTGCTGTGCTGCCCGTGCCAGGCCGAGAGGAAGAGGAGGCAGCGAAGGGCCCAGGGGCCATTGGAGGGGTGCCCATGGCATCCTCTTGCCTGCACAGGGCACAGCTGTGACCCCAGAGGGTGGGTGAAGAGCAGGAGGTGTCTGCACCCTGTCCCCACCACGGTGGGAGCAGACCCTGAATCCAGTGGCTCCCTGAGCAGCCCATCCTCCCAATTCCCACATTCCAGGGTCCCTGTGGTGCCAGCCTGGTGTGTGGGTACAGGAGTGGGCACAGCTGGGGCTGTAGCTTTGTCACCAGGCTCTGTCTCACCTCTGGTGTTGGCTTGAAGTTGGAAAAGCTTGAAAAAATCGTTGTAAAATTCAGTGTTCACCATCTCAGGCATTGCAGAACAATTTCAGTCTCCATTCTGCACCAGGAGCTGAGAAACTCCTGCCCATATGTGCCCGTGGAAGGTGACCAAGAGTGACAAACCTGAGTTTGGCAGGACTGCATCCACCCACCATGTGCAGGAAGGTTCAGAAAGCCACCAATGGAGAGGATTTAGACTCTTTCCTTTTAGAAAGAAAAAAAGCAGTAAGGTTTGTGTGTGATTGCTCTGCACCTCCAGGAGAAGGTGGCCCAGGAAGAGAGATCCCTTCCTTCTTCCCACAGAATGAACACTTTGCAGAGCAGAATCATCACCATCACAAGGCTCTGGTCTCACGCTGAGGAGCAGATGCTGCTCCCTCCAACTCACAGTGCGGGGAAGGAGCTTGGCTCTGGAGAGTGCAAAAATAGAGCAGGGCTGAAGGTGCTGGGATCTGTGGGCTCCCACATCCCCCAGGATGGGAGAGAACATTGGCAATGTGCACACACCTGTGGGCACCTGTGCTCGGAGGGGCTTTTGTGGAGCCCATCAGATGGATCAGGGAGCAGCAAGGAGCACTCAGCCACATGCCCTCCAGCCTGTCCTGCTGTCCCTGAGGGACAGGAGAGCAGCCCAGCCTGGATTCCCACCAAAGAACCACAATTTGTTGGTGTTTTCCTCTGTTTTGGTTCAAGGCAGAGAGAAGAACGAGCTCACAAAGTCGTGGCCACATGTAGGGATGTGGGGGTCACCTCCCCTCAGGGACACTGTGACACCTCTGGGCACTGAAGCACCACAGCCAGGGACAGCATCTGCTGGGGATGGAAACATCTGGAGCAAGAGGACATGTGTTGGTCAAGGGTGGTGCCTTCAGCAGGGACCTGAAGGGCTGGGGGTCA